TAAGAATTTGCAAACTGGGTATCTAGTATTTGATATATAAAAGGTTATTGTAAAGATAAACAATGTAGTACTGCAGGTCAGCATGGAATCAAATAATCTAATGGGAACCTGAGACGATTGACTACAAGTCTGTAACAAATAGCTAACAAATTTTAGAAAAGATGTTCGAATCAAATAATCTAATGGGAACCTGAGATGATTGACTACAAGTCTGTAACAAATAGCTAACAAATTTTAGAAAAGATGTTCGAAGTCATCGGTCATTAGGAAGATGCAAGTTAAATGTGCCGTGAAAGGGGATGTTTACTACTTTTTTAAAGTCAACAGGAAGTGTTGGGGAGGATGTTGAGAAATGCAAAGCTTTGTGAAACTTTACTCCTCACGTTTCTATCAGTAGGTAATGGATAGAACAGATGTAGGATTTACACTCATATTGAAAAATTATATGGCCTTGAAGGGAAGGGAATTATGGCATATTCAGCAACACTAATGCACCTGAAGTAAGTTGTACCTGATTAAATAACAAGTTACAAACAACACCTATTGTATAATCTGCTTAGTTACAATCAGAGTCACAGAAATCAAAAGTAGAAGAGCACCTTCCAGGGGCCAGAAATGGAGGGAAAGGTAGAGTTGATAAATAGATACAATGTATTAGTTTTGTAAAACACAAATTCTAGGAGCTTGTTTAAACAACAATGTAAGCATGCTTATCTCTAGAGCTAGATCCTACTGAAAAAGGAAAAAGATGTAAATTTTATATTTTTAGTATAATTTAGAAAAGATAGACTTTAGGAGACTTACTATAAAATAAATTCTAACCCCAGTGACTTCCAGAATCCTAAGAAACCAGTGAGTTTTATACAATAAACAATCTGGAATGCAAGAAAAAATAAATGAAAATTCTGGTAAATGTTTAAAAAGCAAAATAAGCAAGAAATCACAACTTAGATATTCAAGATCTTCAACATATAAATATCAAAATTTTAGAGATGCTGCTATTGCAAAATCACTATTAATTGCTGTATTTATTAATTATTCTTTTTTTTAAATATTTATTTATTTATTTATTATATACAATATTCTGGTGCCGGAAGAGGGCACCAGACCTCTTTACAGATGGTTGTGAGCCACCATGTGGTTGCTGGGAATTGAACTCAGGACCTCTGGAAGAACAGTCAGTGCTCTTAACCACTGAGCCATCTCTCCAGCCCCTTTATTAATTATTCTTAAAACTATTACTGTAAATTTGTTGTTATTAAGTATGGAGTTAGGACATTTAAACATATAATTGGATTTTTGTTTGTTTGTTTGTTTGTTTTAGTTTATTTTTATGAGACTGTGTTTCTCTGTGTAGCCCTGGCTTTCCTGGAACTGCCTCTGTAAACCAGGCTAGACTCAAACTCACAGAGATCCACATGCCTTTGCCTCTCAAGTGCTGGGATCAAAGGTATGTACCACCACCATCTGTACTAAATGTATAGTTTTATGTTTCAAATTGTGACTGAGAATCCAAAGCCACTTGTTTTGTGATTTTTATATCTCAGCTATAATCTCATTTTTCCTGAGAGTAGAAGCAGCCAGCTATCCTATTTAGTTCTTTTGAGACAGGGCTATTTTTGTGTAGCTCTAATTGTCCTGGAACTCGCTCTGTAGAACAGAGTGGCCTCAAATTCAGAGATCTGCCTGCCTCTGTCTCTGGAGAGCTGGGATTAGAGGTGTGAGCCACAACTACAGCATAGATGTTTAGTTCTTTAGTTCCCTGCCAAACACTACCCTGTTACCATATTCTAAGAAGGAAGGTAAAAAAAAAAGTAAAGTCCATAGGAGAGCTACTGACTTGTTATTTTATAAATAAATCCAAGTTTTATCTAAAGAATTTTGTGGGCTAAGGAAATGGCCCACAGGCAAAGACTGTCTGCTTGCTGTTGAAGAATGAGAATCTAAGTTTGATTCCAAGCACCCACATAAAAAGATATGTCTGGGCCAGGACCTGTACCTCCCAGCAGTGTGGGAGATAGAGACTGGAGGATTTCTTTGACTTGCTAGGCAGCCAGGCTAGCTCCAAAGGAGCATGCTTCGGGTTCATTGAAGGACCTGATATCAAGGAAAAGATGTACAGTGTGATAAAGCAGGAGTCTAGACAGCCTCCCCTGGCGCCTCCTCATGCACAATTGCACATATAACACTTACACAGACACACAAACACACATACATTACACACACACACAGATTTTGTGACATTTAGGTTTATAGCTTGCACAAGTGTCAACACATTAGCAAGCCAGTCATGCCTGTACTGAATATGCAACTCTTCTACCTATTTATTTCTAACAGAAGCTAATATTCGAGTCAAAGCTGATTTCACTCTGGGCCGGAAGAGTGAGGTCACCATCAGTTGAAGACATCAGCATGCCTAAGTAGAAATAAGCTTCTCATTTTTTTATGGTGGAGGCTCTTGATTCTCTGTATCTTAATAGTAAATGTGTAACTTTACAAGTTTCTTTTAGACCCCAATTTGGATTTAAAGAAAAAACTATTAACTTCTGAATCTAATACCTGTAAAAAGTTCCAAATCTCTTGAATGTGTACATAAACACAACTGTGAAGACAATCCTGGGGTGTCAGTCCCTCTTAAACTGGCATGATTGGTGGAAACAAGCAACACACCATTTACTAAGTGCTAAATTTATGTTCATTGTCTCATTACTACACATAGTACAGAGGATCTATGAGAACCCAAATCAAGGTTTGAAAGTCACCCCCATGCAACTGACTTCACACCTAAAGAGACCTAAGTTTAAAAATTACTTTCTTGTTTGCAAAACCTTGTACTCTGAAGTACCTAGGCATTTGATTTTTTCCCCCTCATTTCATTACACCTGTCCATACTATCTCCACTGAGGGGCAGGTAAAATTCTAAAAAGAATGTATTCGATGTCAGGTGCAATTTTGAAAAATAAATTCTAAGTAGCTCAACAGTTAAGAGCACTGCCTGTGTTCTCAAAGGTCCTGAGTTTAATTCCCAGCACACACATGGTGGCTCACAGCAATCTGTAATGAGATCTGGTGCCCTCTTGAGGAAGAGACCTGGTCAGTCATGCTCATCAACTTAGACCATGAAACCCAATATGGACAAGTTCAACACAACTGCCAAGTACGGGCTGCCCACATATGTTTCAGCATTGCCAGCGCAAACATTTCATTTCATTTTTCAGAATCTGGAAAGATTATGTTTACTGAATCTTGTGTAGACTTGTGATATGTTAAGATAGATAACTGCATTTAAAATACTGTTTTCGCAGCCAACATTATTTCAGCACCTATTATGTAGATAATTGTGTATCATCTTCAACAGCCTTATAATCTTAAAAAGCTTTCTCTTTCATTGTGTTTCCAACTCTGCTTTGTTTTTACTTATTATACCATTAATTATTTTTATAAGACTGGTTGTCTTCTCATGAGAGAGAAAGGACATGGATTTGGATACCTGGAGAAGTGGTAAGGATTTGGGAGGAGTTGGTGGAGGGAAATCATAATCAGGATACATAATAAGAAAAAAATATATTTTCAATAAAAGAGACAAAAGAAATAAAAATATTTTAAAATAATTCACAGGTTGGCCATCCTGGAATTTTCTTCTTAAAATCTAATAAACTGTTCTCAACCTCAGAAAAGAACTTAAGCAGGTATTGGAAACATTTTAATTCTAATGATTATTATATTTTGTTTGTTCATTTTTGCATGGGGTCTCTTTAGTGGACCATGAACTGTCTTTGAACTCCTAATACTCGCTGCCTCAGTGTACCAAGTACTGGGATTACATGTGTGGTCACCACCATAGCTTGTGAATCAATCTTTAATTAATATTGCTTATATTTTTCATCAAATGATAACTCAAGGAAAATGAAATATTTTCTATGAAGGAGAAATATTGCATAGCACTATAATTCTAGAGTTTGAAATGGGAAAGCACTAAGCAGTGACCATTTTCTTGTTCCTACTACATCTAGAGAGTAAATTTGCCAGAAAAAAATTCTATTTATTTTCAAAGTATTTCAGAAATTGAACGTAAAATGTGCAGTTAATAATGCATTTGAGGATCCCGTGTTTAAGAGCCATCTCTACTTTCTAAGTATGTAGAAATTATTAACATACTCCTAAAATTGTTAATGATATTTAGTGAACTTTCGTCATGTCTGCTCAACAAGTTACCATTACATCATAAGTAATCATTTAAAAGATTTCAGAATCCTGGTCCAAAACTTCTTAGCATTCTTTGACCTAATAATATTAATTTTCATGAAGTCATCGTTTCTTGAAAAATACAAAAAGATATGAAATATTCTGTTCTAACATGCTTCAATCAGTCATTTTGTTTTTAATTCAAGCTGTCACTGTTGTGGCATGAATGTTTGTGTCTGTGTCTCCTCAAATTGATGTATTGAAACTAAACCTCAATACAATACTAAGATGAAGAGCCCCGGGAGGTGATTAAGTCACAGAAGATTGGATTTCTGCTCTTAAGAAGGGTCTCCTGGGAAGTTGTTGGCCCCTTTCATCACACAGTACAGCCGCTAAAGGGTCTGAAGAGAGAGAGTTCTCACCAGGTACTGAATCTGCCCACACCTCGCTCTCAGACTTCCAAGGCTGAAAATCTAAACTATACATTTATATCATTGGCATATTATCCAATGTAAAGTATGCTGCAGTCTTTTTTTTTTAGTTTTTCTGAGACAGGGTTTCTCTGTGGTTTTGGAGCCTGTCCTGGAACTAGCTCTGTAGACCAGGCTGGTCTCGAACTCACAGAGATCCGCCTGCCTCTGCCTCCCGAGAGCTGGGATTAAAGGCGTGCGCCACCATCGCCCGGCTTTGCTGCAGTCTTTGTTTTATCATATGAGTATATCTTTAACTGGAACTGCGATACCAATACAAAACCCTGGAGGGGTGGATGTGGTTTAACCACTCCAAATCTGAACAGATATGAAATTCCATCTTACCTGAAATGTGTTAAGTGCCTCTGGATGTCCAGGTCTAGAATGGGAGTGGGTCTGGAGGACCCCAGGGGGGATCTGTCTTGGCTCAGGAGGTCTTGGAATTCTTTACAAATTTGTCTACAATGAAAAGCACAAAACTGAATTTGAACTCTTGAAATGAACATTTAGTTTTGCATGATACTATCTACCAAAGTCTCAAAGTCTGTTCCCCCCTTTAAAGGGGATTGGGAGGATGTTTCAGTCAGCAGTCTAAAGTTCCATAGGCAGCATGCAGTGACTTTGGTGCTGAACACCACAGGATGATGCTAAAATGGTTCCAGCAAACAGCTGTTTCCAGACACTGGATCCACGTTGACTCTTAAAGTGAATCTTTACATGTTAATCTCAGGATAAAAGAAAATTCATATGAGAGAACTGTAATTAATGTTCATCTTTAAAATCTTACAATTTGTTCTTAGTACATCACATCTGTAGACAAATTTAACTAAAGTTATAGGCTTGCGTAATTTAAAGCCATAATTCAAGTCAACTTTTGAAAGTTCTTTTCTCCAATATTGCAATATAATTTACTTTTGACCACTGTCATGCCTCAGTGTTTGAAGCAGACAATCTCTCACTCCAAAATAAGTTCACCAGTTTCAGCTGGCATTTGGCAGAGAATTTTCTGCTGCTTTTCTTGTCTTACTATGAATTCTAGCCTCTGTTTAATCAGAAACCTTGCTAGGTATCATGACTAACAGTTAAGCTCTTGTAATGATGGCATAATTGTAAAGAAATGTAACATTTAAGAAAATGCTGTTTTAAAATCTTTTTTTGTATGGTGTGTGTGCGCATGTGCGTGCTTGTGTGTGCATTTTAGTGTGTGTACGTGGGTGTGCACGTGCCATGGTGGACGTTTTGAGGTCAGAGAAAACCCCCAGTGTCAGACTTCACCTTTGACATTTTTACAAAAGTACCTCTGTTGTTTTTGCCCCTGCATGCAGAAGGTCAGCTGACTCGTGATCCTCCTAGGATTATCCTGTCTCTGCCTCCTCTCTCACTACAGGAGCTCTGCATTTACAGACCCATGCTGTTATAACTGGCTTTATGTGACTTCTGGGAGTTCAAATTCAGGTTCTTATGCTGAGGGACAAGTGATTTTTTTACCCACTGAGCCATCTTCCCAGGCCAGAAAATTACAAAAAATATCTAATACAGTGAATTAACATAGCAGCTATAAAATAAAGTCAATAAGCATGGAGAAATGTCTTGACAGCATTCTTCATGTATGGCAAGAACACCTGATATTTAAGGGCAAACACAGTTTTGTACGTATGCTTGTTTTCACAAGAGGCCTCTGTGAAATACAGTGGTTTGGCCTTGATTGTCATCAACAGCAAGTACAGAAAGGTCAAATCACCTCGAATGCTCATGAAGGCAGTGACAGCTCTGCTCTGAAACATTTGTTCCAGCAACAAATATTTATAAGTAGTGACAAGAGGGCTGGCCAGGTGTCTAAGCAGGTGAGGTTCATAAACGCACCTCTGAGACATGGGGGAGCATGAGAACCAGCTCCCTGAAGGTTGTTTTCTCACCTCCACTTGCATGCCCTAGCATGAGCACACACATGCGCGCGTGTACACACACACACACACACACACACACACACACGCAAATAAAGGTAACAAAAGTGGCAAAGTGTTCTAAAGTGCGATTCACCTGGGATGAAGTTTCAGTGTGGTTTCTTGCTGTTTGATGGCGAAATTTTATTGAATTTGGCAAGAGGTAATTTTTCCTATGAAGAGTAAGAGTCAATTTTTGTTGTTGTTGTTGGGTTTTTTTTTTTTTGCAAAGTGGGCTGTTGAGAATTTTCTTTATTCATTTTAATGGGACCCCTCTCTCTGAAGTGAAACTGGATAGCTTTGATGCTAGTTGAGTTTAATAGCTGAGTGAAACTTTACCTAAGTATTTGAAGACATTTTGTTCTGCCACCATCTCCAGGGTTTTATCTTACATAAGAGTGAAACATTGTTACGTTTGCTTTAGATTTCTAACTAAAAAACATAAATATAGCCTCATACCCCAGGTTTTCCTTTTTGACAAATGTTATGAAATCTTATGCAGCCGTCCATCATTACAGTCCTCCCTCCCCCCCCCCCCCCCCCCAAAGATTAAACTGACTTTAAATCAAGTCTTAATTTTCTCTCAGATTGAAACAAATTTTAAGCAACTAAACACTGATGACTATTTGGGTCACTGAATCCATTGATTTCGAGTTTTACAAGCCTGGCTTATGTTTGTCTTAACTACTCTGGGAGCTATAACCAATGTGGTCACCGAAGACGGAAATGAAAGCTCGGCAAGCTTGAACTCTGTTGGTGTGCAGCCCAGGACACCACACTCTAGCAGAAGCAGCAGCCGGGCTTCCAGTTGAATTTTCAGTCTTGTCCCTTAACTTGCTGACCTCAGACAGTGGAGGTACTTAAACACAGATGACAATTCTGCAGGATTCAGCGCTAATTACCACCTTCTGCCTAGGACAGTTACAGAATTAGCATGCTGGCTACTTTCATTCTTATTTCAGTATCTTGTTTCTGAAGCTTAGATATGAAAGACTCTTTTGTCTCTAAACAAAGTGTCATATTATGAATTATGTAACAAAGATGATCTTCAGTGACTCACAGTGTTCTAACTTTATCACTTGCGTCATTGTCCTTAAGGAGGTAACATTTTTTTTTGGCTGATTTCTGGATTTAAAGTTCTGTGTTTCTACTGGTGATAGCTATTAAGGTAATGGCAGTAAAGATTACTAACTTTCATGACTTTGCTTACCGTCCATCAAATGAGAGGTGTACTTATTTCTAATTTAGTGATGAGACTTTCTTGTGTTTTCTATCAACCAAGTAAGCAAGAACCATGTCTAGTTCGTAATGTGTCTGGTTTCTCTCTTTCTGCCTAAACAACTATGCAAACTATACCAAACTATTTGGTCAATTACCAAACAGGAGAAATAAAGATGGGTTAGGAGGGTAACTGCAGGTAATCAATGCTATTTATCTGTAACTGTGTATTTTATAAATTATAGTTAAATACAATAAAATCTATTATTTATTAAAGTAGCAAAGAGTCATACAGATCAATCTGCCAAAGCAAATCGGTGATTGGATATCTCACTGAAAGAACTTTGTAGTTCATATATATTTAAAATGTTTATTATATTTTACACTCTGTGTTTGAGTGTGTGTGTGTTTGTGCATGCACACTCCGTGACACACAAGCAGAAGTCAGATGGTACCTTGCAGCAATCTGTTTGCTTTTTTCTCTTTGCTTTTTTCATAATGGGAGCCGTTGAGATTAAACTCAGGTTTGTTAGCCTTGACAGGAAGTGCCTTTAGCTGTGGAGTCATATAGTTGACCTAATTTCTGTATATCTGAGAATTTCCTTGATAGCCCCATGTCTAATCATGTGAACCTTGATGCCTTGGTACGGATGGTAGAGAGTCTTGGTGAATCTGTTTATATTCTGGAGTGTGAGCCCCCTTGTTTTTAGAGAACTCTTGCTTTCTAGACTATCTTCAGTCAAAGGAAACAGGAACACTGGGGATGGGGGTCCACAGAGACATCCCTACAGCACTTACTTGGTCGCTAGGATCATCTTTTTCCGTGCTGTCTGTTCTTTCTGTTCCATATGTTGTCTGGCAAGATGTTCTCCTACTGCCTTGGCTGGAAACTCCGTTTCACATGTGTAGCCAAAATCCCGAGCCAAGTGCAAAGCCTCACCTGTTGGCAGAAAGCACAGGTGAATGTCTTATGGATACCCTACCTTACAACAGCACTGCTGCCACCTTTCCCCAGCTCTCACACAGGGCTGTGCTCAGATGCATCACTTCACTTCTATCCAGTTTAAATAATGCAAGAATAAAATTGGGAGGGAATGTCACCTGTGAGGAATGCTGATGAAAACAAAGGGACAGAGAACTTCCTAGGCAAACCCGTGGACGACTGAGAAGAAAAGAGAGCAAACAGAGTTTGGCTCAGAGTTTCGACTCTTTCCTTTGAATGTCTCATGGCATAACAGAAAAAAAGACTTCCAAGATGCTGCTCAACAACAACAAAGAGAAAAGCTCCTTGGGTATAACTTTTGGCTGCTGCTCAGTCCTACGTCTGTTATCTGCAGATGAGCCATTCTGATGACTTCTCTATGAGACTGATGAAAATATCCAGAAATGAGCTCAAAAGACTTTGGAAGTTGTTACACTTAGCAAAATTAAATGTTACACCTATTATTATTATTACTATTATTATTATGTGTACAATACATGGGGCAGGGTTACTCAATATGCACATAGTTAATCAAACCTTTCCAAGGAGAAGCAAAGAAAATATCAGGCTGGTGCCAATATCACATGACCCTTTTTTAACAGCTGTCCAGTGTATCACTCTAAGTAGTTACTGACTTGAACTCATGGTGTGCTCACAGAACAACAGACTAGATGGTGAATGGACACTTGGAAGTGCATAAGGATAGTTGATAGACTAGGTTAAGAGGAGACACTAGGTGACATCATTAAAATATCTTGAGTAGGGCTGGAGAGATGGCTCAGTGGTTAAGAGCACTGACTGCTCTTCCAGAGGTCCTGAGTTCAATTCCCAACAACTACATGGTGGCTCACAGGCATCTGTAATGAGATCTGGTGCCTTCCTCTGGCGTGCAGGTGCACATGCTAGCAGAACGCTGTATACATAATAAATAAATAAATCTAAAAAAAATATTCTTAGTAAAAAATGGTTTTCCTACTTAAAATAAGCCTTTTGGTTTGGATAATTTACATTCACAAAGGTAACAGTTGTAAAAAGCAGGAAGGCAGTTGAGGATCACAGAACACTGAGAAACTAATATTAAGGAAGTAGTCCCCACAAAAAATTATTCTTAACCTTTCTTATAGTTAAAATATTGTAATAAAACTTTATTCTCAGACACATGTTTTGAAAACACAGAGCAAAGTTGAAAGAATTTTGCAATGAAAATCCATATGTCCATGCTTCAAACACTAAGTGTGCTCTGCCGCATAGGTATTCACTGTACTACACATCTATCTATGTTATTTCCAGAAGAAATAATAAATATCACACACCTCTCAAAGACATCAGTTTGGGTATCACTAACCTGGGTTCTATATTTAGTCTTTTCAGACTTTCCCCCTGCAGTATGCTAAATAAAAGAAACAAGACTAGAGATGCCTTAATTGTGATTTGTTGATATGATGTGCAGATACGTTGGATGAGAGGGAGGGAAGGAGTAGGAAAGGATATCATGAAGTCAGGGACACATGCTAGGCAAGCATTTGTACCCACGAGACACACCGCTACCCTCATTTACATGCTCTGCGTCTACTGGCTAAGTCTGAACTGGTGGAGCACTGCAGCAGGGGCTGAGTAGGGCATGAGCACTACTCTCACAGAGGATGCACATGGGGTGGCTCACGCCTGCCTGTGACCTCATCTCTAGAGGATCCCACACCCTCTTCTGGTCTCTTCAGACACGCGTACTCACGTGCATATCCCTATACACAGACACACACAATTAAGGCTAAAATAATACAAAAAAGAGAAGATTTTTAATTTTTTGAGGGTTCCTTTTTGTCTATTTCAGAAAAGAAAAGAGCATTTGAACAGCGAGGTAAACTGCTGTATCTGATAGATGTAGTTGGGAACCTGGTTGGAATTTTCAGAGTGAACAAATATCAATAAATGGTAAAAAAAAAATAAGGCAGCTTCATGGATGTGAGTATATTTACATCTTATTTATTATTGATAGATGCTAATATTTCCAGTGATTTTCTCATCTAATCATGCATGTGACGAACATTTATCTCGTTCTCACAGCATAAGATAACCTCTTCTAGAACTTTGCAAAAGAGCCTAACTCAATGGGGGGAAGGTCTCAATGAAACAAGCCTATCAGTACAGACAGCGTTCTGTGATTAGCTGACTAAGCATGCCCCACACACCACAAATGAGCGCTGCGAGTACTTGTGTGGAAACATCAAGTTTCCCTGCACTTAGAACAGAGATGCTGTGGCTAAATATGAAGGGTCTTTGTATGCTCAGTATTTAATGGGGGCCATTGTTTTGAGTAATGCTACATGGAACAAGCAGCGTTTTTAAAATGTTGGTTATCAACAGTTTATCGCCCTGATTCAGGAAGAAGATATATTTTGAAAAAAAAATGAACTAAGGATTTTTAAAGGACATAGCAACGTTATGCAGTGATCACTTTTGCTAAAAAAAAAATGACAAAATGAATTATTTGTGAAATTTCACACTTGAAGATCAAAAGTTGGACCCATCAAATACTGAATGTTATTGCACCTGATCAGAGGATAAATGTGCAGTTCTTAAGTGCAAAGGTCACTTCAAACCTGCTCAATGACAGCATGGACCACGCTCTCTTGCAGCTTTATATAGCAAGCCAAGTTGCATATGTCAGAGTAGCCACACAATTCATCCTTCACATAGATCCAGATACTTAAGTAATGTTTTACCAGAGACTTTTACATAATTCAGCGTTTCTCGGCCTTCCTAATTCTGCAACCCTTCAATACAACTTTTCCTGCTGTGGTGATTCCACATACATAAAATTATTTTTGTTGCTACTTCGTAAATGTAATTTTGTGTCTGTCATGAACCATAATGCAAATATCTGTGTTTTTTGGTGGTCTTTAGGCAACTCCTATGGAAAAGTCATTAGACCCCCAAAGGGACGGCAACTCACAGGCTGAAAACCAGCGACAGGTAAACAGGGCGAACAGGAGGATAGCAGCAGGCCTCTTGAATTTGCTAGAATCTGGTCCTTGATGATTAGTTCCATTCTATGCAAGGCTCTCACCATGTGGTAGTTTTAAAACCAGTTTAAGGAGAAGAGCTGCTGTTTTACATTTACATTGACAGCCCCACCCTTCCTTCCCTTAGCTCTGTTCACTGCTTTCTGTAGCTTGGAGTGTAACATTGTTACAGGATAGTGATGCTACATCAAAGAAGCCGCAAGTGAAGACATTCTGATATGTAGTTTAGAAGTGTGTATCATGCCACAAAAGTGTTGGGTGTGGAAATCTAAGAATGAATGGATAATGTATCTGTCAAAGCAGAATCCTTTATAGCAGATGACTTAGTGTCAACAGGCTTAGGAAAAACAAAAGTGTATGGATAAGCTTCTATGAGTTTTGGTTGGTTTGTGCAAAAAAAGGATCTGTGAGCTTCTCTGATTCTAAGCCATAGGCAGTTACCAGTGGTGAAGAGAGCATCCTAGGAAGGAACAAGAACATTTCCCCTCCCTGTCTCATTAGTGGCCACTAACACCTCCTCTAAAGGATGAGGTAAGGTTCCGTGGTTCTGCGTGGGTTTAAATTTTTTGTTTATTTCAATTTATTGTGCCACTTGGGCATCTACCCTTTAAGCACAAACAGTGACATCTTAACTTTGAAAACTAGATTAATTTTATTTCATGTCAGGAATGCCTCCCTCTATATGTGGGAGACAGTGGTGAAGCTTGGAATATCTGAGGGATCCATGGCAGTAGGACCAGGATCTATCCCTGGTGCATGAGCTAGCTTCTGGGAGTCTTTTCCTTATGGTGGGATGCCATGCTCAGATTCAATGCAGGGGCTTGGTCCTTCCCCAAATTAGCGAGCCTGAATTTGTTGACTCCCCATGGGAGCTCTTACACATTGGGAGGAGTTGATGGGAGGTGTGCTTGGCGGGGGAGTGAGGGGGTCAGGAGGAGGGTTGGAAGGGAGAACTGTGTTTGGAATGCAAAATGAAACTAAAAAAAATAGAAAAAAATGTCTCAATTGACAAGTCCACACTGCCTAGCTCAAGGCTTGCAAAGGGTTTAGGTGTATGTGCCAATTGATAACCCATTCCCATCTGTAAAATGGGCCGCCACAGAGAGAGGGAGAGTTGATACAGTGTTTTAAGTGATATTCATAAACAATGATCTTAAAAAGCAGGTACAGGTAGATTCCAAAACATGGGCCGAACTCCAGCATGAAACTTGCTTGCCAGGTCTCTGGGGATTCGATTCTGTATACATCAAAGCAAAAGTATAATTCTGTGAGAAAATATTAGAAAAACAATTAAGGGGAAAGATAATGGCAACGTATTTTCTGATGAAAAGTCAATTGACTATTGTACTGAGGTTTGGGCTTCTAAAGGAATGGATCTGTATTTATTATTTTTAAAGATTTCTTTCCATTCACTTGTATGCGTGTGTGTGTGTGTCTTTGTGGGCATATGTCATGTGTTTATGGGTAACTGGAGCCCAGAAGGCCTGGGATTTCCTGCAGCTGAAGTTAGAGGCAACTATGAAATGTTTGATGTGGGTGCTGGGAACTGAGCTCTTGTCTTCTGGAAAAGGAGTATGGGCTCGTAATTGCACATCCATCTCTCCAGTGCCCGGATTTACTTTAAAATTAGAAATAAACACACCTGATTTTTGAAACTTGTATATTGCTATGAAAGATTTAAAAAAAAATAATTCTATTTTAGGAAAAGTGTGATTTCTATAACTAAAATTTCAATAATGGTCTGTGGAAAATGAAACTGTATCCTTGTAATTTTTTTTTAGATTTATTTATTTATTTATTATGTATACAGTGTTCTGCCTGCATGTATGCTTGCAGGCCAGAAGTGGGCGCCACATCTCATTGTAGATGGTTGTGCGCCACCATGTGGTTGCTGGGAATTGAACTCAGTCCTTTGGAAGAGCAGCCATGCTCTTA